CACAGAAGACTAAGTACCTCATAGAGTTATTGTGAAGATTAAATGCAAATACACATAAAGCCTTTAAAAATAGTACCTGTCACATAGTAAATGCTCAAGAAATGGTATTACTGTATTATACACTGTATCACATATATTTCATCTATTTGAAATTTCCTCCCTCCTTCTGTTCCTTCCTTCCCTTACTTCTCTCCCTCCCTCCTTTCCTTTCTTCCTGTTTTCTGGTTCCTGGCTTGCTTTCTGGATTGCTGTGGCTGCTGAGTATGTGATCTCCAGTTAAATGATATTATATTCAGATACTCATCTGAGTAGCTCAGGTAGCTATCATAGCTATCAGAGTAAAAGAATTAGGAGAAATGACAAACAACCATAATTAAGAACTTTACCATAAAAAAAAATTAACTGGGCTACATCTAATTGTGATTTTCAACTAATCAAATTCTTTTTACACCTTTCTTTCTTAAGACAGAGTCAAAGTTAATAAAACAAATTCATATCTAAGATTCACTGAACAATCCTACTAATATATTAAGCCTTGGGATCAGTACAGAATGAAATCTGGTCCAATATCTTATATCTCTTAGAGCCACACCGAACAGTTTTGAAAATTGATGTCCTGAATAATGCCTTGTAATAGTCAAGGAAAAAAATTCAATTATGTTTCCTTCCCAGTGGAGTAGGAAGGTATACTGATATTTTTTAATAACTTACAAAGCACTTAATTCATAGTTCATAAATGTAGTCATATGACTTACTTCATTTGAATTGGTAATCAGATTAATTTATTGGTTCAAGGCCACAAAATGTACAAAACAGAACAACCTCTAACTCCTATGACCATGGCTTCCTCCCCTAAAACATTATGAAAGAATCCTAAACAAGATTAAACTAAAAGCAGACTACTAATCATTTAGTTGACCAAACCTGCAAACACCCTGACTGACTAACTTTTTACTTACAATGATGTAATACCACACTGGCATAGTTCATGTGTCTACCTAACTCTATCCCTAGAAATTGGTTTTTTAATAATCTAAATGGCTATCAAAATTACAAGATAAACTGTTATGACTGTTAATGAGAAACCCCTTCATTTTGAGATTTTGATGCTAAATGAACTAGAAAACAAAAGCCATGAAGAATTCCAGACATGACAGAATGAATGTTACCAAACTTGCCCTCCTATTATAAATACTTACATAACTGAACAAGACATATAAGGCAGCTATTTTCAGGCAGCAGAAAACTGGCAGCTCAAGATACAAACCCCATGATAGCCCAGATATACAGATTTAGCAGATAAGGACTTTTTAATAAGCTGTTACAAATACACTTAATGACTTAAAGGAAAATATGACCTCAATGAGTGAAAAAATGGGGAACATCAGCAGAGAAGAAAATCCTAAAAAAAAAAAAAATCAAATGGAAATTATGAAACTAAAAATATATGACAGCATGAAGTTTACTGGATGAGCTTAAAGCAAATTTAAGATAAAACTAAGGGTCAATGAACTTGAAAAAAGGTCCACGTAAATTAGCCAATTGGAAGAACAGAGTGGCCACAGAATGTGCAAGATAAAACAACTTCTAACTCCTATGACCATGGCTTCCTCCTCTAAAACATTATGAAAGAATCCTAAGCAAGATTAAACCAAAAGCAGACTACTAATCATTTAGTACATAGAAGAAAATTGGTGTGGCTAGATTATCAAAGAAAGTAGAAATTTTGACAAGGAATAGTACCAGAGATAAAGATGGACAAGTCAATGATGAATGTGCTAATTTAACAGGTAAACATAACAATCCTAAAAGTTGTGCACAGTTAATAACAGAGCTACAATATACACTTTGAAAAGCTGATGAAACTAAACGAGTAAGTAGACAAATTCACAATCATATTTGGAGATTTTTAAAACCCCTCTCTGAAAAAATAGAACAAGCAGTCCAAAACCAAACAAAATTAGATCTGAAAAATAAGATCAACCAACTTGACCTACTTGACATTTAAAGAAAACCACCACTAATATCTGCAAACACACAACATTCTTCTCAAGTGCACTTGAAGCATACACATAAATATACCTAAAGCTACAAGTCTTATTCATTTCAAAGACAAAATATTCTTAGAATACATATTATCTGGGAATAACAGAATTTAAAATTACAAGTCAATAACAATAAGATATCCAGAAAAGCACAAGATATTTAGAAATTAAACATTTTATTCTAAGTAACACTCTAATAACATTCTAAATGATGAGAAATTAAGGGAAATGAGAAATTATTTTTAACTGAAAAATAATGAAAAAACAAAGCAAAATGTCTCTTTCTAAAGACTAATAAAATTGGCACACCTCTAGCAAGACTTCTTTTTCTACCCCCAAAAAAAAACAGAAAAAAAAATTAAAGTGATCAATACTAGGAAGAAAAAAGGAGATATAGCTACAGACCCTATAGATATCAGAGCATTATAAACAACTTCACAGCAACAAATTTAGCAACTCACTATATTTGTACAATGGAACCTCTCTCCGAAAACTCCTTATATACAGAACAATACGGGAAGATCTCACAGATATTATCTTGAATGGGGTAGGGGAGCAAGCACAAAAGAGTACATACTGTATAATTATTTGATGTTATAAAACTGGGAAAGCTAATCTACAGTGATAAAATCAGATTAGTGATTGCTGCCAGGACAGAAGGTAAAAAAAGTGGAACTGACTGCAAAGGGGATATTTCTGGGATGATGGAATACACGAATTGTAGAAACTCATTACATTGTGCACTAACACCTCAACTTTACTGATTAAATTTACCTCAGCAATGTTGATTTTTAAGAAAAAATAAATAAAAATACCACAGAAGGATGAAGTAATGTGAATTTAGACCCAAATTTTTAAAAATGTTTTAATCTCTTTAAAAAAACTACTTTATTTCTATTATATACCTTCTTAACAGGATAGGAAACAAACTGTGGGCCACGAAGTATGCTAGATGCTTTCATTTCTGGTATGTCACAAAGACTGTGTCCTTAATTCATAAAAAGATCAAGTAGTAGCTTGGCAGGCAGCTGTGTTACAACTGAAAAAGCAATAAATGTGGGTCAGAAAACTTGGGGTCAAATAATGACTGTATGTGGTTTATTAGCTTAGTGACCTTAGACAAGTCACTTTTTAAGCTACTTCATCAACCACAGAGCTGATGTGATGATTATGGAGTATTATTTTATTATTTTATAGTAGCTGGTAAAGCACATCACAAATACAAGTTACGTTAATCACAGTAAGTGCTCAATAGATGCTGATTAAGTGAAGAAATGAAGGAGAGAAACAATAACATGATCAGGGATAAGAAAGAGGAGTGCATGTTTTTAGTCATTTCCTTCTGCATATGGGTGGGGTGGAGGGTAGAACAGACGCCTCTGAGCATAACAACTTGGTACGATGTTCCCACTGTGAGCAGCAGGTACGGTGAGCAGGTCGGTGACCTCCCATAACGAACATACTTCCACTGTGACCTGGATCACAGCCTTCTGGACTAACAAACCGTCGTCAGGGCAAGAAGCATGAAAAGGGAGGAGACTTCACTGCCCTATGACACCGTGGGGCTTTACCACGTTCCGAAAAGTTGCAGCAAGTCTTCCACTACTGTGAACCTTAGAAATGCCAACATAATTGATGACTCACTGTTCAAGTTATCCCTACGTTTTCAAAGATTTTGCTCTAAATGAGACAACCAGAGCAGAGATCTGGATAGGGCGGCAGTAACAAGAGCAATGGCATCATAAATACCTCGTAGGCGAGTTCTGAAGAGTTGCAGCGAACAATGCTAGGCTGGCAGAGTATTCAAAAGGCATGTGAGTACAAAAGGGACCCAGACTGAAGACCTGAGAAGTCACATACCTTCACCATATCTGGAGCCACCAGGAGGGCACCTAGAGCTTTAGTACTTAATCCTAGTGTAGTAAGTTATCTGTCAGAGGGTTGGCAGGATGGCATGGGGGCACACGGAGGAGATAACGAACCACGTGGTGGGGTGGCCACCCGCAGAGAACTGCAAGCAACTACAGAGCCGGAGCACACGATGTGGACGGAAAATCAGGGGGTGGCAGAGGTACCGGCAGGGTCTGAAGAAGGACCTTTCAATCAGGCTGAAGGAATTTACTTTCCCTTGAAAATGACAGGAAGCCACTGAGAAATTTTAGTCAATCAGTACCAAAATCAAATTAGCACTTTTAAGAGAATTACTTTCATGACTTCATGGAGAACAGATTGCAGGGAGACAAAAGCAGAGACAGGGAAACCAGGAGACCGTGGAAGTGATCCATGTGGGGAAAGACAGTGGCTGGAGACGGGAGCACTGAGAATGGAGGGATGTATCCGATACGGTACAGAGGCACAGTTCTCAGGACCTGCTCACTACGCATGTGAGAGGCGACAGAAAGAAGGGGCCAGCATGACACTCCGGCTTCACAGTTGGGTAGTTCGAAGATAGACCTGTTGTTGTTCGAGGATATCAAGAGTAAGTCCACCTACATTTGAAGTATAAAACACAGTGCTACTGCACTACTTTTAAAAAGAAAAAATTAACACAAACAAAAGCACAGGTGCCTTAGACAGTATAGATACACATCTTGGAGAAAAATCTAACACTTAAGTTCACAGAGGGGAATAAGTCAGAGTTAAGAAATTCCTGTCTAACATATGTTAATGAATAATCAAATAACAAGAAGGCAATTCACTAACAAGAGAGCCATCTACTGCCCTCCGAGGATAGTGCAGCAATGAAATGCCACAAAAAAAAGGAAAAATGTGGAAGAAAGCTAAGTTTGTGACCACTTCACATTGTAAATGTTTTTGCAAAATATCTGACCCCTCCCATGAAAAAATTTCAAGTGGTGGTTAGACTTTTAGCTAATAGCCAAATGCACTGGCTTACGTATTTCTCTTAAAAATATCAATTCAACGTACATCATCATTTGGATAGAACACACTCACCTGCCATCATTGCTATCATACTGGCTTTATAGACATTAGTAAGAGATCCAAGTTCTCCTGTTGCTAGGATGGTCTTGAGATGCGCCTCCCCACAGGCCTTGCGAAACTGACGAATCTCATCATACAGGGCTGGGGAAGGAAACGATTGAGGCAGTTACAAGGCAGGCAAGTGATAACATAAGTTGGCAGCCGTTTAGAGCTGGTAGAACCCACTTCAGATTTAGGAAACATAAAACGTTTGTCACTTTCTAAAAATCAGCCCAATTTAACATTGCCTAGGGCCTTCTGCTGCAGTTCACATCCTGTTACAAGGAATGCTTAGTCTGCTACCATGAAACTCTAAGCCCTGGCCTGAGGTCCAGAGCCACACAGCTTTTTAAATATCATTAAAATGACATGCAAATGACAAATTATTTCTACCTCTCGCATATGATGAAGAAAAGAGGAATTTATAAGAAAAAAGGAATTTATCACACATACAGGGGTATACCACTTAGCAAACTGAAGAAAAAATCCTCAGGTCCTTATCAATTCTTCTATTTGTAAATCATAAGTTCTCTTGTATGAATACAAAGCAGGCTTTTGCTGAGAGCTCTGCTAATGACAATAAAGACATAACAGTTTGCCCCACTGTCTGCCAGGATATGTTTCTATATATCTGCCTAAAATAGCATTGAGCCTAGCCAGGGCGTGCTGGATGTATGTGCACAAAGCCAGCTGTAGATGGATTCACAGATGCAGCCGAGTCTATTAACCCCTGACCCCAGTGCCACATCTGGCTTCCTAGCGCTCTATACCGCACCCTGAAAGCAGCTTGATTAAAAAATATACACACACATACAAAAACTATTCTCAACAAAATAAATATCAAGGTGGAAAACATTCCATATTAAAGTAACAGAATTTTTGTAAACAAAATCAGTACAGAGTACAACACTTCTGAAAAATTATTTTGCAGAGTGTTTTATCAGGATACCAGTGGATTTTGGCTCTTACCCTAAATCAGGTTGGCTGTACTCATTCCTCAGATTAGGGCGAATGCCATATTATCAAGACTAAGATGACTAAGATCAGGGCTTTTTCTCTCCTATGTGTGTGTATGTCTTTCACTGAAAGTAGTTCTATGTGAGCACATGGAATAGACTGAGCAAGAAAAAACTATTTGTAATAAGGGTCAGGGTAAGCATTTTTACCTGCTTAGATGAGACCCTATAATTTACAGGTTTACTGAAGCACACATAAAAGACTAAAAATTAGTCTCAAGACAGAAAACTCAATCAAAACCATGAAAGTTACAGCAAGACAAACAAAACTTGCCTTCTCAATCCCAGAAAACCAGGACTTACCTTGAAGCTCAAAAATGAACACTGAACACAAATAAAAGCAAAGATTCTACTACAAGTTGCTTGGTAAAGTCTAGAATTTGTTGCCGTGAATTTGCTACCCACAGGAGGTTTTTCAAGAAAGGACTGCACACTTTCACAAATCCCTAATAATAGGTAGTTTTGAGCATTAGAGATAATCTGAGATGCCACCCTGCTTACCGTGCCTGCCCATCCCAGCTAAATTGTGAGAAAATCATCTTACCCACACATCCAATATGACAGCTCCTGTGAGAATGGTATCAACAGCAAAAGACTAGGTGGCAACAACAATTTATATTCTTTTAATTCACAGAATGAATCTTGGGTAGAATGACATTTAGACTGGATCTAAAGAGAGACAGGTATCTTCTAAGAACTAGTGACAAGGAAATCTCTTGATCCCAAAATTCAAGAATGCTAATCCAGAGTAGACTTGGGATTTAATTACTGATTTTTCTTCCATAGTGTGTTGCCATCCAAAGCAGGCTCGAGAGTCTGACAAATGTGGTTTTTTTAAAGCCCAACTCCATCACTGTCTGTGTGCTCTTGGGCCAGTTATTTCTCTCAGTCTCAGTTCCATCTTTAAATACTACTACTTTGTAGGGTTATTATAAGGATTAAAAGAAAAGATACATGTATAAAGTATACACTCTGTGGTAAGCACTCAAAGGCTTAATTGTTATTATTAAGCTCAGAAGTCTAGTACAATGAGTTTCCATTAAGGGTTGTGTGATAAAAGTCGAATCTTGTTTCATGGCCTGACCCAACTCCATGTGCTACGCTGACATTTTGTAGTATGGATTAGTGCTTACAATCAGCAAAGCATCAGATAAGGCTTGAAAATATTTTATTACGGCATTTGTTAAAGTGAACTTTGGCCTGTATAACAAAAACCTTAAAACATTGATCCTGATAATATTTATGAACCAAACTACTAGCCTTTATCTAAAGAGTATTACCTTTTGATACCCAGTGAATTCCTTTACCTACAGTTAAAATTAACCAGAAAAGCAGGCATATTTTATGGTTTAAATACCAGCCACCTGCAAGTTATGCTCTTTAAACCATGATCCAAACAGAATGAACCGAAAACAGTCCCTTAGAGCTTAACTGGATTTAACAAATGTGCAACTAATACCTTCTCACTCTTTAACTGCGAACAACTCAAATCACTTTACTGACCTGTTTATATCACCACATAACAGGGTCAAGATACTTGTTGAGCAAATACCTAAATACCTTAGACTTTAAAGTTCTACATTGGGAAAGTTGTCATTTCTTTCTGTTACCATTCTGCCAGAATGTACCAGAATGGTTCAATCAGAAAGCATAACATAGCTGACCTTTTAAAATATGGCCTGGGCCCCATCAGGAAAGTGCTTCTCCTGGGCCTTTGACTCTTACTGAGTGGCGCAAAGATGACAGAACTGTTAGACCTTCATTAGTGCTACAGCATAGCGATGACAGCAGATCCCAGTCCAGGGCCCACCAGCCACCAGCACGGCACCCCTGCTAGCAAGTGACAGCAGCACCAGCAACAGGCCTGGAACCAAACTTCCCACGACACACCTGGCTCTGTTCTCTGTTCCCGTTGTTCATGGGCCAGCTTGTTTTCCAAGCCTGATTCTCTAGGCTTCCTACTGACTCAGTAAGCTACTCTAAGTATGTCCTCCTACTAAATCCCTTTTCAGCTTAAGTGCATCAGAATTGGTTTCATTTGTTTTCACCTCATAACTCTAATACAACAGATATTTACTGAGGAGTGTGGAACAGTGAGGAAAAACAGTGTGGGTGCCCCTACCGCCCGGGTTCACATCCCAACTTTAAAATGAATGTGCTGTTTGACTTGGGCAAGTTACTTAACTCTAAACCTTTGTCTCAGTTTCCTCATCTACAAAATGGGGATGACAGAAGTACACACACCTCCTGGAGTTATTTCCAGCATTAAATAGGTTAATATATCCAAGGTGCTAAGGAAAGTGTATTGGATATAGCCAACACTCAAGGCACGTCAGCTACTTGTTCTCTCGTTACTGGCTGTGGTGGCGCTCCTGCTACTACTGCTGAGTGCCTATTAGGTTCAGAGTAGAGAGGGACTTATAAAAGCAGAGGACACTATGATCTACGTTCCTTAAAGAACATAAATACCTTTTGGGGGCACTAGAAGAGCTGGCTAGGGAATCAAATGTTTACTATATCCCAAACAATTTTTTTCAAACTCAAGAGCCCATGTTCCTTCAGATAGCACAGACCCCTGGGATAAGAGTTTTTCTACTTTCTAATTATGTAGACTTGTAGGAATTTCTTATTTTTTTCTAAGCCTAATTGCTTAGGGAGCCTCAGTTTGCTCACATATTTTGAGGAAGTTTAAATAGAATACACGTGACTAGAAGAGAACCAGGCAGTTAGCAGTCACCGAATCATTTTTTCATATTTTTCCTATACACTTCCAGAAATACAAAAATAACTTTGATAAACAAAGCAAGCACTGTCTTAATACTTATGAAAGCATAATTAGAATTTAAAGATCTTATATGTAAGAAAAATAAACCACTTCTCCCCAACACAAGCCATAGAAGCCACAACAGGGAAGCATTACTAGTGTCTGGGTAGTTTTAGGCACGTTGGCATTACAATGACAGGACACGCATGCAGATCGGTGTGAAATCATGATGCCCTGTGACATACTCATCACTTTCCTTCCAATACACAGGAGCAAAACAAAGGGAGAACTAATGGAGAGGTTGCACATACATCAGCAGGGGAGGTCAGCAGGGTGCGGATTTGTATCACTGCTACTGGCCTCCCCATGGGGAGGAAATTACAAATGAAGTAACAAGTTCAAAAGGTCCTCTTTCCAAAAATTCTTCATGAGGAATAATTACACAAAAGAATGAGAGATCCCCTAAGTGTCCAAAACATCTTTCTTCAAAGATGCTCAAAGTGTGTTCCACAAATCATATAACCATTCCTTGTGAGACAACTGGTAGCTGCCTCCACGTTTCAGAGGTGAAGAAACGTGGAGAGATACATGTCTTGTTAAAATTTTATCACTAGGCCATGGTACAACAGAGGCCAGAATTCGAGTCTTCAGCTGTGAATGAAATGTTATTTCCCCAAACTTTCTGCCTTCAAAGCAAGTGAGTGCAAACACACATGCACACACATACATGTATGCTGTAGTTAAAAGGCATCTGCAAAGAAATAAATGAAAGAACTTAGAGTAACAGAGTAATCAAACCCTAGAACCCAAAGGGATGTCAACTCCCATCTAGTTCACACTAACTTTACAGATGAGCATTATAACCCTAGGACCTGATTTTCATTCTCCTAAGATAAAAAGTCGAGTAAAATGAAAAGTTCCAAGGTAATTCAGAAACAGAACATACTTAATTTTGTATGATTTAATATGCTGAAAACAGTCTATAAATTGCTCTGTATGGGAGCAAAATAGGATGTTGTGTCGTGGTGAAGCATACTTATCTGAATCAGGACTTTCCTACACCAGCTTGCCCACTAACTAGCTGTGTCACTTTGGAAAGTTCCTGAATTCCTCTCCAAACCTCATTTTTCTCAAGATTGGATAGAAGATCCTTACTTTCAGAGCTCAAATATATCTCAGGTTCTGAGAATAAATGTAAAGGTGATTTCAAATTACTATGAAGGCAATCAATTAACTGGTTTCCCTTATATCTACCTTTAATAATAAGCAGAGACAGAAATGAAGAAAAACTGTGAATTACTATAAAAGGTAAGCTGTTCAAT